TTATATTTTTTGAATTTTTATATTTTTGAATTTTTATATTTTTGGAAATTTTATATTTTTGAATTTTAATATTTTTTGAATTTTTATATTTTTAAATTTTTATATATTTTTAATTTTTATATTTTTGAATAAATATATTTTTAATTTTCAAATTTTTGTTTAACGACGGACGATAATCGACGAAAGAAGAACGACAAGCAAGGAACGAAAGACCACGTACTAACGACAAATGGCGAAACGCGATACACGAACGACCAACGAAAAACAATAACATTAAGCGACGTAGAACGATCGACGAGAATCGAGCCACGAACGACGAGCGACGAAAGAAAAACGACACTCCACTAACGACAAAAACGTTAGCCGAAATAAGAGAAATGGAAGACGGAAGACGATGGCCGAAAGTCTTGAGTCGAATATAAAAATTCAAAAATATAAAATTTCGAAAAATATGAAAATTCAAAAATATAAAAATTCAAAAAATATAAAAATCGAAAAATATAAATTTTGAAAATTTCAAAATTTCAAAAAATTAAGAATATCGACAAGCAGGGACATACGACGGACGATAAATAACATGAAGTTTACTACGATTAAAGAGTGACGCGCGTTGTTCTTCGCACGCCTAATATAGCGTAACACTCTTGAATCGTAGTAAACATCTTATTTTTTTTATCGTTTGCCGTATGTTAATGTTTTTCGATATTCTTAATTTTTTTAAATTTTATATTTTTTTATTTTTTTTATATTTTTTGAATTTTTATATTTTTGAACTTTTATATTTTTCGAAATTTAAATTTTTGAAATTTTTATTTTTTTTGAATTTTTATATTTTTAAATTTTTATATATTTCGAATTTTTATATTTTTTGAATAAGTATATATTTAAATTTCAAAGTTTTTTGAATTTTTTCTGTTTTTCGCTTTTTCTAGTTACATTTCTTGTCTTGTCATTCGACTTAAGTCCAACGACTAAAAACAAGAAATGTAATTAGAAAACCCGAAAAATATAAAAATTCAAAAAGTTTTGAAATCCAAAAATATAATTCGAAAAAAATAATAATTTAAAAAATATAAAAATTTTAAAATATAAAAATTCAAAAAATATTTAAATTGAAAAATTTTAATTTGAAAAATATGAAATTTCAAAAAATAACAATTATCAGGAAACATTACCGTACGACGGACGATAAATAACATTAATGTTTACTACGATTCAAGAATGACACGCTACATGCAACGTGCTACGAATGACGAACGACGGAAGATAACTGTCGAAAGACGAACGACAAGCGAGGAACGACGGACCACAGACTAACGACAAACGGCGAAAATGCGATACACGAACGACCAACGAACTACGATAACATTAAGCCACGTAGAACGATCGACGAGAATTGAGCCACGAACGACGAAAGTAAACGACACTCTACTAACGACAGAAGACAAGACAATAGGCGACAGACGAAAAACGAAAGACGGAAGACGATGGCCGAAAGACGATAGTTGAACGACGAAAGACAAGAAATGTAACTAGAAAAAGCGAAAAATATAAAAATTCAAAAAATTTTTAAGTTAAAAAATATAATAATTCGCAAAATATAAAAATTCGAAAAATTTAAAGATATAAAAATTTAAAAAATATACAATATCAAAAAGTATCAAATTTGAAAAATATAAAATTTCAAAAAATTAAAAATATCTAAAAACGTGTATGTACGACGAACGATAAAAAACATATTTACTACGATTCAAGAATGCCAAGGTACATGCAACGGGTGACGCACGACGGACGAAAATCGACGAAAGACGAACGAAGTGCGAGGAACGGCAGACCACGGACTAACGAAAAACGGCGAAAGACGATACACGATCGACCAACGAAGAACGATAACAATAAGCGACGTAGACGATCGACGAGAAACGATCCAACGTATTAATCTCTATAGCATCCAATTCTAACCAAATGTCAAGAAATTTCTCTTAGCTGTGCCCTGAAGCAACGGAAAAATTATGCAAAACTATAGTAATTCGCTCCGTAATCATTAGACTTTTGCCTGTTCAATAAGGTTTATATATTGCATTACTATTATAGGTAGACTTACACAATGGGCCGAAATGAAACCTTTAGGGTCAATGGAAGCTGTAAAATGTATACGTAAGCTTCCGCGGCTCGAATTCAAGCTGTAAAATGGTCATCAAATTTCTACAATAATGATGTGCTCGATTCAATGAGTCATTTTTTTTGACCGAGGTACGAAGAAAAAAAAAGCTGCCAATAAATACTACAATTCCAAAATGCATTCTTAATGTTCTATTTTCGGGTGAACAGTCCGGAATTGTTTTACCTACAAACTAACAAGCAGTATTATCTCAAATTGTAACCAGTACTTTTTATAATTGGCGTCTTTTTTAACAAAAAAAATTAATAATATATAAATTTTAAGTTCCCTAAAAAATTGTAACCTGTTTTATTTTCCACTGACCCCCTTATTACTATTCTGCTTCACTTCATCTTAGTAACTTCAATCAATACTATCAATAATTTCCTTGCATAATGAATCCATTTAGGAATGACCACGAATATGAACAAGTAACAACTGACAAAGAATTTTATTCATTCATTTATACGATACTCTACAGAAGTGCCAGTTTCAGTACTAGTGTCTCTTTTAATAATTTTATAATGTTATGCCAAAAATAAAGTGTGCCACTCATTTATAATCTTGCATTTTTGCATTTGTAGACATTTGAAAACTCGCTTCTAACGTCTCTCGTTTTTACAAGTACATATGCAATAATGCATCACATTATCAACTAGTTGCGTAATACAGTATTATATTATGTTTTCTACGTTTAGTAAGTTCATTCCTCTCTCGCATCTTGGTAGGGAGCTGTGTAGTGTTTCTTTGAGAGAATACTCCTTACAACACTGAAGCGAAGTTTTGCCCTTGCGTCTTCGCGAAGTCAGTGAAGAAAAATATTACATGGTGTCTTCACGAAAACACTTTCAGAAATATGTAACTGAATATTTACTTTATCCTCGTTTGAAATATATTATTCGTATTCAATTCATTCGTATATATCACGTTACAAAAGGTTCTGAAACACGAGCGTACTGGATTTCAAGAAATCCACGTTCTCGAGTTTCAAGGATGCATTCAAGAGAGATTTAATTTATGGGGAAAATCCTAACTAAAATTGATCCTCTCCCTTTTCAAGTTTTTTCCGCTTCAAATGAACACTACCGTTTCCTTGAAAATACTGCACGAAATAAAAAAGCCGACCGCGATTGTTCAAATTGAGGACAACATGAATCCGAATAACCCAATTCTAAGAGAAATTTTAATTCTCTTCCCATGCCCATACAATTCTCCTCGTAAACAATGAAGTCTTTCCCTCAATAATCAACGCTTTCTTTGCTTGAGGAGCATGGGAGTTTTCCTCGCCATTAACGTGACAGCTCGACAATGACAGCGATTCGAATATGGCGTCCTCTCACGGGGAGAGTTCTATTGTGCGTTTGAGCGATGGTAGGAGTGGTAATTACTTCTGTTTCGTTCATGTCTCTAAGTAGAAATATGAGTATACAGAGCTAAATTTTGGGACAGGTTAATTGATTGACTCGTTGGAATGTTGTCTAGGGGTGAGTTTAGGTAAATTAAAGGAAACATGGCTACAAAATAGAACAAAAAATATTTACAGGAAAGTGTACAGTGTACAATTCATTGATGAATGTCAACAAACAAATATGAAATGGTTACTCATTTCCCTGCATCTAAAAATTTTGTAGCCCTGAGGAATACTCTAATAAAACGGCGGAAAAGTCTACAAACTTTACTTTCATTGACTAATATACACGCGAGAAACACTTACAGTTAATATGCGTTTTGTATTTTTCACTTAATTCGTACCGAATTTAATTTTATGATTCGGAAATTTGTCTAATTCATAATAGGTAGGTAGGAATTTCGGTAAATAAGAACAGTGTTTATAACAACAGTTTATTGCGTGCTCCAAATACGAATATAAATACAATACAAAGTTTCATACAATAAATATATAATTGAAAGAAAAGATGCGCACGTCGTGAGTAGAGAGACTAGAAGAGAGAGCAGGACGATGGGAATGGCGAGGTCGTCATAGTTGGGGCGGGGGTTAAGGCGTGGGGCGGGGGGAGGGAGGCGGGGCGGGGAGGGCAAGGGCTAGGCGCCAGCAGCGCGCTCAGAAGCACTTCCTGTGCACGATGGAGGGGCCCGACTCGTCGTACTCCTGCTTGGAGATCCACATCTGCTGGAAGGTGGACAGCGACGCCAGGATGGAGCCGCCGATCCAGACGGAGTACTTGCGCTCCGGGGGCGCGATGATCTTGATCTTCATGGTGGACGGCGCCAGCGCCGTGATCTCCTTCTGCATGCGGTCGGCGATGCCCGGGTACATGGTGGTGCCGCCGGAGAGCACGGTGTTGGCGTACAGGTCCTTTCGGATGTCCACGTCGCACTTCATGATGGAGTTGTAGGTGGTCTCGTGGATGCCGCACGATTCCATGCCCAGGAAGGAAGGCTGGAACATGGCCTCGGGGCACCGGAACCGCTCGTTCCCGATGGTGATCACCTGCGCAACAACGAAAGGGAAGTCACGTTCGCGCTCGCGTCGAGAAGTTCGGAAGGCGATTTAATTCGTCAAGAAGTCTCGCCGCGACCTCCAGTGCTCATGAATTTTTCAAGGAATATAAAATTAGTAGTTTGAAATCTGTTAATGGCTATCGGGGGCAGTTGCATTCTAAATAATTTGTGGTTAATATAAGCGATTCGCCACTGAGCAGGGAGGTAAATTTTAATATTCGCACAGACTATAGCATTAAACTTATTTTCGCTTAATTTTGCTCTATTTTAAGGCAAGGGACTTCACGCAAGAAAGTTTCAGATGTTCCAGTGGCCGATTATTTCACTAACTGAAATTTAAATATGTATCCACGTCCATTGTGGAAATCAGGAATGTCCAATAAAATTTGTTTTAAAATTTCCATTATTATAATACACGTCTTTGTCAATTTTTAAAATCATATCGTGGGATCAAAGCCGACTGCATTTCTACGAAGTATCTGTACACATAGCATTGATGACAAGGCAGCCACTCCTACCAGAAGTTTTCAAAAAGTACTCTTAAACCAAATAAGATTCACAACTAGTATTAATTTCGGAAACATACAAGTGAAAATGTTGTATTCTGATCGAGAGCTAAAGACTGCGCATACTTTCTAAAAAATATTTGTAGCATAGTGTCCCCTCAGAGGAACAAGCGAGACTAATAATTAACGGGTAGTATTGAAATAATTGAACGATCTTATCAGAATGCAAGACTGAAATGACACCTGTCATATTTCGGATTCGAAGTTTAAACCCACCTATCAAATGGTAAACCGAATCGTGAACAGGTACTTACATGGACAAAAATAAATTAAATTTCCTAGTAGACAAGTGTTAAACTTCCTGGAGTCAAGAATGAGCAAAACGACTGCCAGGCGACAAACGCTCGGGCATGCAAAGTTCAGTTTGCAATTCCAATTACTTTAGCAAACAGTTTTCTGGATGTTTTGCCAGCTCTTAAGCATGCATTATAACTAATGAATCCGTTCTAAACCATAACACTATTCTACCAATTTTATTTCCTACAGTATCCAAAAATATTTTGGACCCGAGGTTTCAGTTAATACATTTCGACGAAATATTAAAAGATGTCCTTTCAAAATAGTTCAATGCAATTGAAGCAACCATTAAGAATTTGATCCGGGCGAACAGCGTGCTGAAGCCCTCCGTTTGAGGGCTNNNNCACCTGTCCGTCGGGCAGCTCGTAGCTCTTCTCCAGCGACGAGGACGAGGCGGCGGTGGCCATCTCCTGCTCGAAGTCGAGCGCCACGTAGCACAGCTTCTCCTTGATGTCGCGCACGATCTCGCGCTCGGCCGTCGTGGTGAAGGAGTAGCCCCGCTCCGTCAGGATCTTCATGAGGTAGTCTGTGAGGTCGCGCCCGGCCAGGTCCAGGCGCAGGATGGCGTGAGGCAGCGCGTAGCCCTCGTAGATGGGCACGGTGTGCGACACACCGTCGCCGGAGTCCAGCACGATGCCGGTGGTGCGCCCCGACGCGTACAGCGACAGCACGGCCTGGATGGCCACGTACATGGCCGGCGTGTTGAAGGTTTCAAACATGATCTGCAAGCAAAGGCGATGTTCGCTACTTTGAGACGCATTTCAGTGTATCAATAACAACGAGCGGGTGAATTGTTCTAAGGCGAATCTCAAGAGCGGTAAATGGCGATGAACAATTATAGACATACCATCATTCGCTCAAATTTGACTATTGTGCCATTTGATTTTTATTACTCCAATAGTAATAGTGACTATATCAAACTTGCGTTCCAGTGGGACACCAAATGAACACCGCCGTACAAGTGTAAAAATTATAGAGTATTATCCAATACGCTAAATATATATCCGAGCACTAAATATTTTTAAAACTAATTTGCAAGTAAAAGATTAAACAATCCCGAAATGATTCGTAAATATACCTTCCTCAGTTGACCGATTTGAGACTTAACATCAATAAGCAATTTGAATTTAATGAACGACAATTAAATTTTACTCGTTTGGCTTGCATATCAAGTGAAAATATCCGGGTATTTCGCAAGACCTAAACTCTTAACTAATTCTTCAGCGCGAGCGAATTCCGAAATTCCTACTCTCCCTTTTTACCAACCTTAGTTGATTTCAGAATTAAAGATTACAATCAGCGTTGTTAATTGACAAAGGTTCGTTCCCGACGTCAAGAAAGCCATTTGCATCAAGAATCGTGCTAGAGACTTATCGACGGTAGTATTATTGCAGACTCCATTCTTCGCTAAATGCGAAGCTACCCACGAAGACTACAGATAGGAGCGCCTGCAATGCAAAGCACCGTTTTAGATCAGTTCCCGTTTTCGGCTGCCAAAGCGGCGTCCGCCGCGAGCTGAACGTGGAAGGTGCGCGCGAGGGCGAGGGCGGAGGCGAGGGCGAGCAGGGCGAAGGAGCAGCCGCGCTGCGGAGTCCGTGGCCGGGGTCGCAGCCTTATAAGGCGCGACCGCTTGAGGCCGCGGCAACCCGCCTGCACGAGGCCGCCCGCCCCGCCCCCCTCCTCCAGCCGGCCACCGCCCAAGCGGGCCAGAACTAGTACGGAGTACGGATGGCAAATCCTTATCCCCACGTCTCTTATTTGGTGACTGGAGACAATTTAAAGTTATTTATTTTGCGGGAGTGTCAAACGAAATTTTTTTTTGGTCAAAGAATGCATTACTCGAATAATATGCTTTTGAACTAGATTGGTACAGATTTCATGAAATTGTTAAACACTTCTGTAAATTAAATTTTATGAGCTTGGAAGGTTTTGTACCCAAGAACTTCATATTACATTTTAAGGTCAAAACATTCAGAAAATTTATAGAAAATTCAGCAGAATATTGGCGTTTACGTAAATTTAATCACAAAACTAAAAATAAAATTTAAAAAAGTAAAATGTTTGAAAAAAGAACCATCGCAGTGTTTTCGAGACGAGTGAAGGCTTGATCTGAGCGTAATTTTCTGGTGAAAACGACCAGTGAAACTAATAATTGTCATTGAAAACTCTTCATGTTCGAGAAATATTTTAAAGCTATGCGTCAAAACGTTTAATTTGAGTTTCAATTCCGAGCCCAATTTCACTCTAGTAATTGCGTTTAAAATTTTCTTCGTTTTACGTTCTCTGCGTCATTTAAATCACTTAGCGGGCATCGAAACCGATTCATTTTTGGGAGGTGCGGTTAGACTTCTCCACCCTTCGAAGCCTCCAATGTGGATTTGAAAATCGATATCACTTTACTTATCGAGTAATAAGCATTACTTGCTACTTACCGAGAATTTAATTAAAGTCTCCGATATTTGCGTTTAAGAAGCGATACCCATTTTAACGCCTAATTCTTTGAAGAAAAAAGTGCATTATTTTGTTACTTCGCAACGTTCTCAAATATTTCAGCGACTCCTAATGTTCAAATAGAAATTAATGATGACCTTTCTGAACATTCCAGATGCCTTTTAAAATGCTTCCTACACAAAAATTTAGAAATCTGGTATAACGACCCCTTTTTCCTTGCCCCACCCCAACCCCCTTCGCCCTCTTAAGGTAGTTTTCCAACATCAAACGCTTGCGAGCCTGTTAGTCATCGTTTTACTACTGCGAGATGCAAATCAGGCTGGCAAGCCGCGCGGGTCGAGTCGCAGGTAGCCCCCGCACCTGCGTCATCTTCTCGCGGTTGGCTTTGGGGTTGAGCGGCGCCTCCGTCAGCAAGACCGGGTGCTCCTCGGGGGCGACGCGCAGCTCGTTGTAGAAGGTGTGATGCCAGATCTTCTCCATGTCGTCCCAGTTGGTCACGATGCCGTGCTCGATGGGGTACTTGACGGTGAGGATGCCTCGCTTGGACTGCGCCTCGTCGCCCACGTAGCTGTCCTTCTGGCCCATGCCCACCATGATGCCCTGCAACAAGCGCAAGGGGGAGATCGACACGTGGAAGGAAAAGGAAATCGCCAAGGAGTGGTAAAGAGCAACGAGGGACTAGAGATCCTCCTTCCAAAATTAAAAAAAAAAAATCTTTCAAGTTGCCACATTTCGAAGCCGACACGGGATAGAAACTAGGGTGCGCGTCAAAAATTAGCATTAGCACAAGACGAATTCACGATGTTTTGATTCAGATGTTATTCAGCTATGTTAATCAAAGTAAACTGATCATAACATTAAGTATATAAAAATAACTATTTAAATAATCTGATATTTAAATTAATCTTCAAGTATTTATCATTGTGGAATTTCGGACAAACAGTAGGTTCCCGTACAAATTTACACCAAATATAAAAGTTGTGTCACTTGCAATGTATTTTATGCTACGAAATTTTGTTAAATAAATTGACGGGTTTATGACTGCTTATCCATCCAACAGTTCCCGTCCCCAACCCTGTCCCTTCCAACAACAGACCATCCACCCTCGCATTCCTCTTCCCTCAATTTACAAGAAGCGAACTAATTTGGACGTGAGAAACTCCATTGCTTAAGACTAATTATCATCGTTTCCTCCATTAACGCAGACTTCTTTTAAACGCTTATGGAAGAAAAGACAAGCCAAGGAGATGGCAGAGAATTTTAGTACACCGTCCAGGTGTATGGTGTATATCACTCCCTTCTTCAATATATTTCGATAAACTAATCAGCATTACGAAACTTCCATTTAGAGTACCGTTTTATGATTCAGAAAATATTTTCTCCGAAACCCTTGCTTCCCATTATCTTAAGTTTTTCCCCCAGCTACATTCGAAATAAAATTTGTATTTCTTGAGACATTGTTCGCGCGGCCAGTTTTTTTTTAAACCAGTCGCCATGATGGGAATCCACTTTTCCCTTCTCTCGAGTGAACGCGCGCGCAACGACCCTCCGCCGCAACTCCCTGTTCGCGCGGAGACCTTGACCCGCTGCCAGGGGACGGCCGCGCCCTCCCATTCAGCAATCTACGCGTATCCGTTCCCATGGGTGGAACCTGCGTGAACAGCACACGACAACAGATCTACCAATTCACGTGTCACTCAGACAGAGTTAAAGAAACCATTGCGATTTGGTTCCGAGGAAATTAAGTTGCCGGTGCACAAGAAAACTATGACCTCCCAAAAAGTTTCCAAGTTGTAGCAATCCAAACAGACTAACAGGTTTAATTTGTATTCGATCATTCAGTTTTACCTTAACCGTTATTTACAGTAAGTTCAAATTAATAACCTAAAACCCTTTTGCATTCCCCCCCTCCCATTTAACTAAAACGGCACTTCACGAACGAAATATGCATATAAGTATTACATTTTACGAGAAAATGAGGGGGTTTTCTGAAATTCACGGTCACTTCTTTGCGAAAAAACTTAACTAAATTTAGTCACAAGTAAACGAATCCCTGCGATATCTTTAATACTTTATCACTTGAAATAGAAGAACGGGATTTAAGTCCACTGATACTTTTTCAGAACATCCCAGTACAGTTATTTTGAAATATTTCTTAAACCACAATGAATAAAAACGTACAAGTCAAACATCTTTAACAAACCAAGACTTCTACAACTCAAAGTAACAATACTTAGTAACTTATTCAACACACTTTTATGCTCTACTCTTAAATTTAGCTTTAAATCTTATGAATACAAAATCGAAAGGTGACAAAAATTCTCGTAAGAATTCCACTTTAAGCTGTAATAAATTTATTCACTTCAATATTTGAAAACGAAGACCAAAGAATGTGAAAATATTAAGTTTTTAAATTTATTTTTTATGTTTGCTTAACGTGTCTAGGAAGCAAGCCCGGCACTCATTTCGCGTAGGGAATGTTGTTAAACAGCAACATTAGGCATGTAAAATATGCGTTCACCATTTATGGCAAAATCACAAACTTTTCCTTCCCATTTTCAAATTTAGCTATTAAATATTTTATATTTCTAGTATTTCCAGAAAGCATTTTAGTCCACCTCTACGTCCTGGACTTTCGAACATTTATCAAGGTGAACACTGCCCCTCAATGGTCGTGTGCGCAGGCATTCCCTCGGCATTTATCATGTTCAAATACAAATTTTATAATACCGATAGTGGGAATTAAAAAATTACTTTTAGAAATCTGCAACATGACTCAAAAGTTTTTTTAAATATAACTTATGTAACTGACAAGTCTTATTGCACAAACCAAGCAGTTAGGATTAAAGAGCTTTTGTAGTTTCTTTAAACGAGTTATTAAGAATTAGCTGCAAGAAATTACCGCAACAGAAAAACTACGACAATGTTCTACTCCCGAAAGTGCTTGTAGGCGCGGGCTGGTAGCGCAATGTAGCACATTTCACTGCATCTTCCGAGAAACTAATTACTTTGTCACCTCTTAAAAACACAGGGGACTTCAGGGCTAAAACTTGAACCGGGAAATATTTCAGAATTGAAGTTTCTGCCAAGATCGGGAAGAATTTAAATTGCATTGTTATTTTACTATTTTCCTCGTAACTGCACTTCGTGTCGCGGGCAAGGAAAAGAAAACTAGAAAATAGTGACCTGGTAGCGCGGGCGTCCGACGATGGACGGGAAGACGGCGCGGGGTGCGTCGTCGCCAGCGAAGCCGGCCTTGCACATGCCGGAGCCGTTGTCCACCACCAGCGCCGCCACATCGTCGTCGCACATGTTGGAAGGGCGGTGGGGTTCTGACGGCTGCTAACGGAGAGCTCCTGCTGCTTCTGCGGCGGCGGTGGCGGCTGCTGCTGTTGTTGTTGCTGCTGCTGCTGAAGCTACGAGCACTGAGGAAGCGAGTGGGCGCTGACGGGGCCGACGCCGCTCTTATACCCGCCCGTGACGTCACGCAGGGGGGGGGGGCGCCGCGCTCCCGTTGCGCCGGCCGCCGCCCCCCCCCCGCCCTGCCTACCGCGCCGCTCCGCCGCCGCCTGGAAAGGCTCGAAAGCTGCGGAAAACTCTTTCCCGAGCGCGGCCCAGGGCGCCGAAGGCGTTCGCACGAGGCGACGCGAGGCGGGCGCTCTCCTCCGGGGCTTTCCCTCGCCCTGCACCCGCACCTGCACCTGCAGCGGCGACAACTCCCTCCGGACAGCCGTATGGAGGGGCCACAGAGTTTGCGACGGGGGCGAGGGCGGAACTGTTACCGAGAGATCCAGTGACCTTCGGGAAGCATCTATTGAAAATAAATCTATTGATCTTCAAGACGCCATGGACCCTAATGCCTTCTTTTCCTTATTTCTACTTCTTCTTCGTCTTCTTCTTCTTCTTCTTCTTCTTCTTCTTCTTCTTCTTCTTCTTCTTCTTCTTCTACTACTACTATTCTTTACTTCACGGGGAAGGTTTCTGCCTGTTCTAACTTCATGGCGTCTTTTCATCATCTTGGACTCGTATCAATCTTATCCCTACGCATGTTGCTTTTGGAGGGGTCTGGTTGGTTCTATTCTGTTAACTTAATGCACACACATACTTCTATCATTCATTCATTCATTCATTCTCGATTACGCAGAATAGTTTATTACACTGTTTCGGCACGAGCTTGGAACTCATATGTATGAATGGAGGAAATTAATCGTCATAAGATAATATTTGGACAATATAGACATCGATTACGAAGGTTTCTTGCTCCCTTCGAATACCAAGGGCATTACCCACAGAAAATTTAATTTAATAATACTATTTTACCAAAAATGCAGAAATATTGTTTTGGTTCGTTAGATTAACAATTAATTCGAGTTATTTATACCGACAAAAATTGATTTAATAGTTATTGAACGATTTATCGGTTAGTGATTCCGGACGCATAAACTGATAAGGTCATTAGTCCCTTATGTGTAGTGCATGTATCTCCCTCCCTGGCTGGCGAGATTCGACGCCGACCTACGTCAGCTTGCAATCCCATGCAATTGCATGTCCCCACCACTAGTGAGGCACCGCCCCAGCCGGGAAAAGTTCTAAGCTAGTCTCTTGGCATGTGAGGTGTTGCAGTGTATGTGCATGTGTGTGTACGTAAGGGGTGAGGAAAGGGCGAGGAAGATCGCGTGCGTTCATTGGCCCTTTGGTTAGGATTCTTCTCCGGCAATTGCCTGGTAATGATCGGAGAAACCACGGAAAACTGCCGATCAGAGCAGTCGGCCGCTAGAAGTCTCCTTTGATGTCCTGAGTCACCTTTGTCTCTATTAGTTATCGAAATATTAGGTTGATTGAATGATTGATGTTTCTGAGCACGGCAACTGCTTTGGTTATTATTGCCGCTAGTTTAGTGAATGTATTATCTCGGGGGGTTGCAGCGTTTCTGCCCCATTAATTGAAGTGATCCTACGCAAACCTAAAAGTTGACTGATACCTTTCTCAGGGACTGGTAGCTTTTCGTAGGGACAAACCCATAACTAATAAAAGTCTACAAATATGCCATTATTGCAAGATGAAACCTTCTTTTAACTTTTCCTTCAGTAATATGATTCACAGTTTCAGAAAAAAATACTTCTAATTACGACGGTGTCAAGTTCTGACACTCGGAAGCTTGATAACTGACACCAATGTTGTTTAAACTCAGAAACTGCTTTACTACACTCTTTCTTTCCGCTTCAATGTTGGTGTTGCAAGAAAATGAATATCAACATGGGTGTTGTACAAAACTAATGCCCTCTTCGGGATTGTTAATGTAATGCCCACTTGGGTTCCAAATATAGTCAGAAATTTTCTTTGGAATTCGTTCGTGTAGAACAGAATATACTTATGTTGACCAACCCCTATCTGTTTAGGGGCTGTCGTTAAATAACGAAATGCAAAACAGAGTAAATCATAACCTCTTCCCCTTAAGACGTCCCACAATGTTAGTCCGAACCCCTCTTGCAAGTAAAACTGGCACTATTGCAACAATAATGCAAAGAAAATGTTTTGAAAAAAATTTTTTTTTAGAAAATTTACAAATTTTCTACAGCCTTATCAAAAGCCTTACTATAAATTAAAATATCAAGAGGTCACAACTTCATGGATATCTATAGGGAATATACACTTTAATAAAAATCCTCTATATGGTTTTGGTGATCGTATTGTATTTCGAGAGTCGTTTTGAGAAAAAAAAACATTCTTCACCAAAGGCCAACATTAACTGGCTTCTGACAACATTATGTATTCTAGAAAGTAATTTACTTTACACAAGAAAAATCCTAGGTATCAGGGAACTGGCTGCTGTGGTTCAAAGTCAGCACTGTTTTTACCTCAGCAGCACCGCTGATCGTGATGTACTGGGGTTCGAATTCTGAGGAAAGCGCATTTTCGACACGAGCTACACAGCTAAATCGAATTCATGACTTCAACTGTGTGACGACGTATAGCGGCAGGTTGCTTAGATCAATAATTTTCCGTGGTATCTCCGATTAACGTCAATCTAATGCAGGAGCATTGACTTAACAAACGAGCCATAGATCTAGCGCGATCTATCATCCTAGTTCCCTCCTCTTCCCTTACACACACACACACACACACATGCAATTCATCACCACACAAGTCGAGAAACCAGTGGAGGCTTAGAGCTTTTCCCGGCTGGAGAGACATCTGGACTCACGAAGTCAGAGGCCTACAAGGTCTTCCGCGACAACGTACATACATGAAAGACTAGGGAGAAACACACACACGTCCACGGCGGTCCTCGAACACACGACCCTTCCGACCGATGCGCTGAGTCAGCACATGCTCCAGCCACCTCGGCCACCCAGGCCAGCTGAAGCCAAAATTAGTAATAAACGAAGTTATGCAACTATTCTTCTCTACTCTAAATACGCCGACTATGATTGCTTTATGGTCCTTCTTCGATTTCTCTAGTAATAATTGACGCGTTGTTGAACTTAATGCTTCCAAAATTAGATAAATTTCATAAGACTACGAGTAATACAAGATGTTTCAGTACGTCACGCATCTACTCGTTTTCATAGATAAAACGTAAATAACGAAGTGACTTGAATGCAATATATTAAATGAATGTGTAATGGGCAATGGGTGTAAATTTCAAAAAACTGTGAAGAACAGTATGGACGCTTATTTAAAAGATCTTCTCATGAAGTTGAGCTTTACGCAACGAACACCAAGCGATGCGTTTAAACGGCAAAACAAGCGCTGAACGTGTTGACTCTGAATTGACAATCTTGCACATATCTCGTCATATGTTTAAAATGAATTATTCACTACAGCAGTTAAATGAATGATACAATAACACAGGAGATGTTATTAGGAAATTTAGCGTGCAACAGAAATGGCTAAAAGGTAACATTAGTTATGGTAATGCAAATTTGCATTATCATGCTTTAATGCACCCACATTAAGGCATATTTTCACACAAATCTCTGAGCTGTAACACAGCATAAACTGTCAGACACAATGTAACATTTTAATGGAAGAAACAAGACGCAGTAGTTGATAGGATCTTTGAAGGGATCCCACCTTAAGTGGTAGTGCTAAGCAGAACGCTAGTTCTACATAACGGCACATACTTTCTCTTACTACTTCATTTTCTGTTCTATTAAGCGTTTAAATAATACCAGGAGTCCTCTCAGAAAGCTATCGCCTTCTGGATGTGACGAAGAGCACATTTGCACGCCCAAACATCGTATACACTTACCTCGGTCCTCTATAATCACGAAAGTGGATCAGATGAACACTGTTTTTAATATTATTGTACTATACTCAGCCTCGAGTCAGACGAGCCATCTTAATTATCGCCAGTTATTCTCTAATTGATATATCATAAATAAACCACATGCACAACTCGGATATATCCCCCGCTACATTTCCCTTTTAACGTAAACAATGTTTCTTTATTCATTTACACACCAATATCTAATGTTTCGCCTCTTCTGCTTTGTTCGGTAATTTCGTCTGTATATTAAAGGTATTGAGGACAGAAACATTATTATCGTGAATGCACAGACTTGCACATGCGGAATTGCAATCACGAAAGTATTATGCAAGGTTTCTTTTTACTTTTGCAATTACGTCTATGGAATAATAAAATTAGCGGTGCTACAGAATGGCACAGACTTTCACGTATTAGTTTTCTATTTCCTTTGGTCTCGGTTAGATATTTGGACTTGCTCCATACTCTTGCCAGCTACCATCTACGGCCGCCCAAGTACAGTTTTTGACATTCTTTCAATTTTTCTGTTCCCTCATAGTAGAACGGAAATATTATTTTAATAATATTAAATAACAGTAAAACTTCGTCCTAAATGGAAATTTTCTTTGAAAAATTTGGAGCCATTGTTAAGAAACTGGCCTTTAAGCGATTCTGTAAAGAAAATATGAAGCTCTTTTTTACAAAAAGTTTCTGTTTTCGAAAAACTTCAATTGAATCACTTTAACTAACAAATATAATAGTGTTTACAAATTTCTGTAAATTTGCATATTAACGGTGAAAGAGATCTTTCAAAGAAATAGTAGTTGTTTATTTTTTTTGAGAAAACAAAGAATACACTAAAAGAACTTTACGTCATATTAAGGAGTATCATTAGCACTATCCATTTGAAAAGTTTGAAGAAAAAAATTAGAGCCGTTTTTGAGAAAATTGTATTCTTCTAATTTTTTTAAAATTGTACATATTTCTCGCAATACTGCGCGAAAACTACTAAAATAAATATATATATATATATATATATATATATATATATATATATATGATCTTAATGAAAGGACTCTCGAAGACAACCAAAAAAAATTGAAATTTTGGAATTTTTGAAAATTTTAAGTTAAACCTGAAAATCGGACCAATGCCAACTTTATAAAAGTATTTTACTTGACTCTTACATGAAAGTTAAAGAAAAAGAGTGAAGTCATTTTTGAGAAAATTTTTAAAGTGTCCGGGGGACTTCATGTAAAGTACCCCCAAATTTAAAGAACTTTTTCAAAATCTCTAAGCTTCGA